TCTCTCCCTCCCTCCCTCCCTTCCACTCCCTCTCTGGTTGCCTCACTCATCTAGTTGCACTAGTCTGGTCGGTCACCGTTCTCGTGTTGCTTGCAGTGCCCGATCGACATGAGGAAGGTGTTATCGGAAAACATCGTCGTGACGGGGGGCACCGCGACGCTCCCCGGCTTCACGCACCGCCTCCAGGGGGAGCTGCTGCGCCTCGTGCAGACGCCCAAATACGCACGCTCGCTCGCCGTCCGACGCTTCGCGTTCCACGCTGCGCCGGCGAAACCCAACTACACATCGTGGCTGGGAGGTGAGTGTCGCGCGCTCGCCGCGTCATTGTCAACGCGGTAACCGTACTAGTTTGCGCGAGAGCGTGCGGCGTTGGAGATGGGGACCCCAGTATCTCCAGTCCGTGCGTCGTAACTTTTGTGCAAGGCTGGGTGTTTTACGTGGATTTTACTGTAGGTTATATTTGTAGCAATTTGAAGTTTTCGAAGTCGGGGGCTGGCAGGGTTTTTTCAGACTTATTTCCAAGACTAGAATGTATCGTTCTGTTTTGGGCTTTGTTTTGTTCGTGCTGCGTTCTATTGTTTTTACTTTTTTAATGTTAGAATGTAGAACGGATGTTTATTTTAGTACATAGAAATGGAAGATTAGAATGGTTGTTTGGTTAGCACTGCTTGTTAGGTTAATGATACATATAACATTATACAATACAGTACTACTACAGTGCAAACTACTCTCACTTCCACGCTCACTTGATATATTCAAAGGATCTCGATGGAGCTAACTTATTACTACTTTATTTTAACTGTTATAATTGATCTTAAAAACAACCGTCAATTTCAAACTGTTTGTGCTTCCAAACACTATTGGCTGAAACCACCTGATTCACATGTGCAGGTATCCTGCATATGCTAAGAACGTCTGTGGCATGCAATATAGTTGTGAGGTGCTGCTAAAAATCACAATACGTGTTCTCAGGTGCCATATTCGGCGCATCGGAGGTGCTAGCCAGTCGCTCCGTGTCCAAAGAGTCTTATCTGGAAAGCGGGGTGATACCGGATTGGTCCAGCATTGCCGAGAGAGTATCCACCAAGGATGACGATCGACCGACCATACAGTGACATTAATACGAAAACTTGACTGCCTCTACCGCTTTGGCCCTGCGCATGCTGTACTGCTGGTGCTTCATTTGTCCAGCTGCAGTACCGCATGTTGCTTATGCATACGCGAGAATCGTGCAAAAAAAATTGGCGACGAAGATCTGTACCGGTCAGAGGCGATCGGTCACAATCCTACTGGAGAAATGACCGTGGCGCACCGCCAATGTCGGGTTGGATGTAATTTGAGAAGCTGGCCGTGTGGCTGTGAATTACTCTAGTCGGGGAGTGTGTAGTGTTGCATTGCTCCTCCGCGTATTTCTGCCTCTACTGGTGGAGGCTGCCCTCGTAAGAGCTTCGGTGTGTATTCGTGCTACTACTGGTGAGCCCTGTGTACGTAGGAGGTTCTCTATAAATATTTCTGCTATCTCTGGCGAACCGTGACGTCGTGCATGAATTAAGAAATTGATCTGGCATTTAACATCGCGTAGGTTGTGAAATTTTCATGTTATCCGGTCCGAATGAAGAAGTGGAAGCTGTAAACCTTCAATGGCGTTGTTGGGGTATGGATGCCCGCCATGCGTTTTTCATGTGAAAGTTTTCGTTTTCATTATTTCTGCATTTAATATGAGAATGTAATGTGTAGTCCTTGGCTATATAGCTGTTTGAATTGCAAGAAAAAGCATGATATTTATCTAGCTACTGTATATATTGGTATTGTAAGAAATATAAGCTTATTTTATGCACCAGGGCCTCTGGGTTGTAATACCTAATTTTGTTTATTTGCTTATAATTCTGCTCAGTTTTTAAGAGACAAGATATGTCATGTCTAAGCTGTGACCACCAGAGTTCGTATCTATACTGAATGGTATCTGTACCTGTCTCTTAGTAGCTAGGTGCAGCAACTCCTTATTTATGGCTCATTCACTCATGGCACAAGAAATGATCCACAAGAGGCAGGTAATTGATAACATACATGCAGAGTTGCAAAATAAAAATATAAATATGAGAATGTGTACATTAATATATAACTGCTTTAATAACTAGAACTTGTGGCATACATGATTCTTCAACTGAGCAGAGAATACGTGAAATTGGTTAAATCAACCAAAGGCATAACTACATCCTTTATCCAGCCAAGCGTAGCTGTACGTCTATCCATTTACTGTAACTTTATGCAGAGAGTAATGTCCATTAGTGCAGCCACTGCAATTATGGACAATATAGAGCTGCTCAAACTCCAGGTATAATTTTAATGGTATATGTTAATTATACGGTTCACCCGTAAATTGCCTGGTGATTGAATCACATTCGTCTCCACTGTATATAGTGGATCATGTTCCACATAGAAATGTACACCTAATATAGGAATGTCTATAATGAATGTCCGAGCTGAACCAAATATAAAGGGCACTATTGTTTTTACATGTCTAATAAATCGAGAAATAGTCCTACAGAGTAGGCCTACAGTGTAGATTTAAAATTTGGTTGAGCTGAAATTTTCATAATCCCAAGTATTCCAATTCCTCTATAATGAGCTTCTCGTCCTCTTCTGTGACTGTAACAGCAGAGTTCTTATTTACGTCATTGCAGTGAGTATTTTTATTCTGTGTCTGATGATGTTCGTCTGTTTGCAAGACATCACTATTATTAGTGTTGCTTTTAGTCACATCATTCTTTGACATTTTCTTCTTCTTTTTCTTCTTCTTCTTTGCCTTTTTCTCGTTATTCAAGTCTTCGGTACCACGTGTTATTGGAGCAAGAATAACTTTGTTTGGTGACCGGTTCACTATATCTTTGCAATCCCATAGAATTTCATTGACTGCCTCCGTGGTTTCTTCATCGTCTGATATTAGCTCGTGTTTTTTTACAGAGCGACCGTGTAAACTGTTTGTGAAGCCTGGACGATCTTGGTGATTCTCTTCTTCTGTGTCTGGGGTATCGGGAGCTGGCCCTTCCCATACCCATTCGTCGTAAGCACCATGATGAACCGTCACAACGTTTCTATTCACTATATTTGGCGATTCCTTCTTATGCGATTTTGGCGAGATTGCAACGTGTTCTTTTTTCTTCGCCTGTTTTCCGCCATCTGTTTGGCGGTTGGGCTCATTTTTCTCGACTGGATGCACTTTCACTGAGATAGTATTCCCTTGAGTCGACTGGCAACTTCCCATCCTTTTCACTACGCGCTGCTGTCATTTCTTAGTAATGTTTGTAGAGACATTCCTCTTCCCGTTCGACACGGTCACGGATTCTTTCCTTTACCGTTATGCGTAAGGTTTCACTGCTCCCGTTACCAAGGTGTATACCAAGGTGCGTTGTACATAGTCGCTAGGGTACGATTATTAGCACTCGCCACGCGCGTTTGCTATACCGTCAGGTGCTGCCACCACGCGGGCCATTAGACGTGCAAATAATAGGATATTTATGTCGTTCACGAAATTTGTGATTATTAATTATAATCACGAATATTATGCCGTAAAAAGTTTTCTCAACGTTATACCGAGATACGACGTGTTTAAAAATATTAAAACTACGGAAAACACGCGCGATAAATCAGTTGAAATAGATTAATAATTAAAAATAGCAAGTACATTGCAATTACCGATTGAAACTAAGACATTAATAATAATAATAGATAAATACTATTAAAATTACTTTAATTAAGTTCATTGATAATTCACATTGGAAACATTGAGATAAAACAATACGCACCAATGTAATCGGTTACTAGGCGCGACGAATGCCCGTATCCATCAGCATCCGTTTGAATCACCGCAAAGCATAGTCCTAATTAAATTAAAGATTGACCATTGCGCGACTAATTAGAAAGATGTTATCTCAATAGCAGCGCGCTCGCGGCGAACACTCGGTCAAACGGCTGACAATACTCCGACCGTCCCTCGGACAAACACGCCCATTGTTAACTTCCTTATTGCCGTTGCTCTCCGGCGTAGCTCGTTAGCGGACAATCACCTTAATCCGCGACCACCTTTGTTGTCCGTTAGCGTTACCCCCGCAGCAGTTACGCTAATGACGGCGGTCAGCTCGGCCACGGCCCTCTCTCGCTACGCTACAGTAACCACATGCCGGAACCATCTGACCAACGGTCATCTGAGGACGCCCTGTGTTTACCGAACATGGCCGCTAGCGCAAACACGCGCACACACACAAACGTATACACGGTCAACGACGTGAATAGCGCAATTACTGGGTCGCCTGTCCTATTTACTCGTACCGCGGTTGGTCAGCCTGCGGTCAGAATTAGCCTGCGGTCATTTAACAGCTGCAACTGCCGGTGTTTATCGATCGAGTGGTCAGTGCGAGCTCATAGTTCATCTGGGGACAGCGTCCTAGATATTTACAGCTGCGTGTGACCACCGCGCTGATGCTGATTTGCAGAAAGCGAAGTGACCACTGCTAGTTGTAGCCACCGATGAGAGAACTGCGTGAGCACATTCATATTCATAGAAGAATCAGCATTAACTGAGTGTACATGTGCGCTTTGTGGCGATGCTTATTTCGTATGGTTATTTATAGTTACGGACTCGAACCGCTGGATTGCTAACTACACATGCTCCGCCTGTTAAAAATGAGCGGGAGGTATCGAACCAGGTACGGAGCATGCTCAGATCGCGTCCGACCACGAGACAGCTCGGAATCTATTGGCTGAACCGGGTTCGTTGGCGCTGAAATAAATAATTACGACAGTCACCGGCCGATGAGTACCCAGTCAGTAGACGTCAGCTTTTTGAACGGACATCGACAACTCTGGAGAACAACGGTTTAATGTTTTCCGTAATAGCTACTTGGTAAAATTCGTCGCACGCCCTAACGTTATTCTGCGTGTGATTATAACTTCAACTGAAGGCTCCGCCGAAAATGTTACATAAGCGATCGTAGCCTAATCGTAGTCAGGTGTTCTTTCGCTCAACGTTACGCTAAATTTCAGTACGTTTCCTTGGTTTTCAGTCTAATCGTACACTTTCTGATCTAACGCAACGAGTAGAGAGTGGACGGGTACCGGGGTTTGAAATGAATAAGTAAACCAGACCGTGAACGAATGTGCCGGAGGTTGTGTGTGGACAACCTTCCCATCCTGCACCGAGACACCGCCATCTTTGTTGATGCTCTTTGTCCAATGTGAGCTAAATGTGGAACTGACGGGCTTCGGTTCCCACCAAAAGCCGATGAAATGTCACGGAGGAAACAGGAAAACCCTCAGCCGAGGAAAAGACTAGTCACACGTACGTACACTTCTTTTTTTGGCCATTTTCACGCGTTGTTTGTCCTGCCATCGTTGTTTTTGTAAAATAACGTGCACTAACCGCTGGTTACTAACGCTATGCCCGTGACTCGTCTGCCTGACCAGCTTGTCACTGGCGGGATCGCGGCGTGAAGTGACGTTTGTCACACAATATTCATTTCGTGCATTATACACAGGTGGGAGTTTAAAAAAACGTAAGCTGTTACCTAACAGTCGACTACGAGTACTTGTGTTTTAGTGCAATTCAGCATGATCAGGTGTTTCTATGCGCGGAACACACACACACACTCACGTACAACATATAACGCGAAAGAGTTCAGAATCAGGGGGTGTTTGAAACAGAATTGGTAAATGACTAGGTGCATCGGTGATATCGTGTATGAATTGATACTATGAAAATGTTTGAGATCCAGCCACCAGTCTCGAGTAACGGTGACAGCGATTTGGATAGTTTACCTGTGTTCGTATAATCGGTTAGCGTGAGCATGTTATCTGTACAATGTATTTGTAAAGATACACATGCATACAATGTGTGTACAATGTATCTACACAATATACAATTGTATAAATGGGTTCATGTTTTAGTAGAACTAATGGTATCAATGCAATTGGCAGCACACAAGTTCACTTGTCACTGTTGAAACTATAGTCAGTTGTCAGGGTGGTAAATGTACATGTAGTGTTCTAAAAGAGGAAATGCATGATATGTAAAATACAATCTAGGAAGTGCTGAGGAAATGTAAGGCAAATTGGAAAATAGATGTATCTTGTCTGTGTAGCTGTATTATGCGTATGTGATAGTCAATATGTCTGTGTGAATTAGCGGTAGTGTGGCGATAAAAACATTTCAGTTTAGTTTCGTTTAGCGCAACTGTGATTCATTATGGTTTTTCAAATCATGAATCTTTCAGTTGTAAAACTGGAACTACAAGCTTCCGGTTCTTCTGTAGATACTGTAACGAAGAAACTATGAAAAACTAGGATGTTGCCATGGCCCCAATCGGTATTTCTGTGTGTTTCACAAATGTACTAAGTCATTACCTGAAACTTCCAAATAGGAAATATTATATGTAACCGCCAGGAAACTTCACTGGCACTATCAGTTTAAATGTCCTTTTTTAAAGGCACATGACTTCCATAAATCATAGCTATAAAAATTCAGACTGACACGTATCTGCTGAATCTTTGATATATTTAACATTCATTATGAGAACGTAATTATGATTTTAACCATTAACGTGTATATTAAAATCGTGTTATGATCAATTTGATGCTCGAATGTAAGTCGCTTGTCAGTAGAATTTGAATCGGACAATCTAAAGAACAGAAAATGTTGCTTTTTTACATATCGTGTAAACCATTCTAAAACGAGGGTTGTAGGCACTGAAGGTTTAGGTAACGGCAGCCCTGTGCTGTGAGATTTCAGGGACTGGGTTGAGCTGAATTCCAATGAAGGGAAAGTAATGATGATGCTCTGCAAGGTTATAAAATGGCAGTAGAGTTTGC